AAAGTAATTCTTAATGATGAGTAAAACTAATCCTACAAGTGCTTTTAGGATTAGTTTTACTCATCATTAAGAATTACTTTTTAATGGTTGCTAGGGTTGGCCATAGTAAATGTCTTGGTTCCATACATACTACACAATCTTGCTTGACTAATTTATAAGCCTGATCTACCATTAATAATAAGAATAATAAAATAATAAGCAGTTATTATTTTGTCCAGGCTGAAAACATAAAATGAAAATAAAAAACAACATTTTTATTCGCCATTTCAGTAATATTTAAGTTCGTTCGGCTCCTAAGGATGCTCCAGGGTTGTGGACAATCTTCACCAGTTTTGAGACGGTCAAACTATTAGGTTTAGCCCCCTTTGCAACCTGGCCTTTGCCCTGTAGGTCAATGAGCCCCCGGAACTTTTTTTGTCTTTTTTTTTTTTTTACTTCTGGTCTGAAATGACCTTTTTGCAATGTGACAGGTGTACCCAAGATGACCTTTCTGCTATTTTTATGGCTGTGGGAGTAGTCAGCAGCACCTGGTACGGCCCGTCCCACTTAGGAAAAATACGCCGAGATGAGAGTATAGGCCAAAATAGTTTGATTTTTGTTTATTTAAGTTAGCTTCTCATATAATCAGCTTAAGTAGCTTCCTCATCTATTTACCATTGATTATTAAACTGTGACAATCTATACAGTCTTCCAAATAATGTTTAAAAAGGTGTAAGTTTTGATGTACTTGTAATGTTAATGTATAATTTTACCAAGTCTAAACATTGCGTCCAGGGCCTACCAGTTCCTCCAATACACTTTTTAGTCTGCTTTTCACAGTACCATTTGTTCTTTCCATCAACCCTGTACTCTAAGGATGATAAGCACAGTGGTTTTTCAATGTCATTCTCACATCACTTGTCACTGTAATCAGTCTATGGAATGTTGTTTTTTGCGCAGATTGAACAAGTTCTACAAAAAATTTTCGAATGAGAAATAAATCTATAAGTAGTACAATACTGATGTACTTGTCCGACCATTCCCCCTGTCGAGACATGTTACACACCATGGCTCGATATTGCAGCCCATTTATATAGATCTTTTGGTAAAATAGGCTTATTGTCAGAGCTTTTATAGATATCATCTATTATAGTTGCTCCTTTCTTCGTCCATAATTCTTTTTCATTTTGTGGACTTGCTTGTTGCATTTCACGTAGAACTTTTGATCACAAGATTGAACTTTCTTCTAAATGCAACACTGTTACTGTTCCTGTCGCTGCTTGTTTGCCATCTTATCAGCGAACGCATTCCCCAGGGACACTCTGTCCGTCCCTGCAGTGTGTGCCGCACATTTGCAGATTGCTAGTTGCTTTGGGAGTTGTACAGCTTCAAGTAATCCTTTCAACAATTCTGCATGTGTCACTGGCTTTCCTGTAGATGTTACCATACCTCTATGCGTCCAATATTGTGCAAAGGTATGAACAGTTGCAAATGCATACTGACTGTCAGTATAAATCGTTACTGTTATATCCTTCATAAGTTTACAGGCTGTGGTAAGAGCGATTAGTTCTGCTGCTTGTGCTGAGTAAAGTGAGGGGAGCTTTTCAGCTTTCAGCACAGTCTTATCAGTTACCACTGCATACCCAGTTTGAGTTCTTCTTAGTTCGTCTTTCTTTGAGGAACCATCTACAAAAAGTATTTCACCTTTCTCTAATGGTAAATCTTTTAGATCACTTCTACTTCTAGCTGTTTGTTCTGCTAAAAAGGTGATAAAAAGGTCATATTTGTCTGTAACAATAGTGCTGATACCACGTGTGGTACTCTTAGTGGTAATGGATAAAATAGTACAATAAGAGCGCTAACTTCAACAGCCATGGAAGCA